TCTCTCTCTCTCTCTCTCTCTCTCTCTCTCTCTCTCTCTCTCTCTCTCTCTTTCTCGTTGAACCAACATGTTCTCTGACAATCTCTTTTCTCACCCTGTCCTAGATCTTCAAAGACTCCATGTTTTGCCCTGCCATGAAAGGTGGACAATTAATAAGCTTATGTTTTGCACTTTCATTTGCCTTTTATCATCAAAATAAGAATACAATAATGAACAAATATATTAAATTAAATTAAAACAAAACCAACAAACATTGTCCACTACAGGTAGGCCCCCTATCGCCCAAAATATCCAGACCTCTATTTATTTGATATTGGTTCGATCAGTTTCTCAGAAGTTGAAGTTTATAACATAACATTATGCACTTTTAGTGTAATCTGGTCCGCGTTCCGTACTAGATTCTAGTCTCATCCTGTCAAGAGCTATTTGATATTTATTTATTTATCTATCATTTTATTTATTTGTTTATTTATTCCTTTATTCCTTTATTCATGTATTCCTTTATTAATTCATTTATTTATTTATTTAATTTGTAGTTTTGAGTTTCCTATTTCGGTTTTTATACATTTCAAGTTTTGGAAAAGAACTGAAACGGAAAGTGCAAAAACAGTTCCTTGTTTCCCCAGATTTGTCCCTTTCTTTCTACATTTTGCGGGATGAAACCATGATCCCAAGCCTAAGTGTTTTAATTGCTCAGGCAAATGAACATTGCAAGTTTCAAAAAGAAAAAAAGACAGAAAAATTTTTGGAAATCAGATGAAACTAAAATTACATTAATCAACAATTGTCTACAATTCCCAACCAGAAACAAGTGAGGATTTAATAGGGGCTAGGCCTACACTTATAATGCCCGAAAATACACAGCACAATAATTTAAGGTTTATTTACTATTTGCAGAGTACCTAAAGAATGTTGTTCCGGGGTTGATTCACTACAATTTGCAATAATTTATCGTACACTCTTTGTTTGAAAAAAAAATATCGACAAGAGGCAATTGCATCTGGGAATATTGTTTTAGCGGTTAAATATATATAGTAAAAAATCTGGAATTACCGTCTTCAAAAAATATGGCGGGCGATTCACACAACAAACAATTTCAAGCTTTCGTCAGAGGAATCGATTCAAGTTCAAAGAGGCTTAAATCTAATTTTGAGGCAATTTTTGCGAAGGTTGGCATACATCATTGGCTTACCACTTCATATATTGCATGTCTTGACTGTTAAATGAAAGTGATGCTGCTTGTTGCCACTGGTCTCCTGTTTCAAATTTGCCACCTCTATTCTCACCCGATTCTGGCTTGTCTGGTGATCACAGCGAATTATAAACCACACGCCCCCTTGATCTCATTGATCAATACGATAAAAACCAACACCCCACATAAAGAGAATACACAAATCACCCCAGTTTAAACCACCATGATAATACTAAACACAAAACAAGGGGAGGATATTCACGAGAGTCCTGACGTCCCGTCCCAACAAACCCATCTCTCTTTATCCTTCCCCCCCCCATTCCCGCCTCCGCATTACGGTTATCCAAGGACATAATCGTCCTGCCACAACGGGGCCCTCCTTGCCCGTTGAGGGAAGCGCCTGTCAATCTCTCGGCACTCTTCACTCTCTCCTTTCTTAGCAATGCCAATCGCCCGCTGCGCCTTGTGCCGGAAATCAGCCTCCGCGCGAGGGTAGGCACTTGGATATCGGCCTGCGCGGCCCGAGATTTTCGTTCACCTGCGGCCGCCGCGTTTTGTGTCAGAAATCGGGCCCCGTGAGGGGGGTACCTATTTGTTTTGTTTCGTTTATAGTGTTCTTTTCAATTTATGGATTACTTCCGCCTATCAAATTAAAGAGGAAAGAAAGGCGCGTATTATAGCGTTTTCCACTTCGGGATCGGTTGTGTGTGTTCGGAGTTACAAGGAGTTAAAAATAAGGTAAGTTCAAGCCTTTATATTTAAAGAGTATATCTTTTTTTTTTTAGGTACTCCTCACAGTCTTTTCTTCAACCTTTTATCTCTTTTATTTGTTAATTTCAATGTTGTACGTTGAGGCATAAGCGTGTGAGCCCTAATTTAAATAGGTCACTCTCCATGAATGGGCATGACCTATTATCGATCGCGCTGCTGAGCGTGAACCGGGAGGTCATGGCGGCCATTGCGGAAAGCGAACTTAACCCACGCTAACGTGTATTGTTGGCGTTTATTACCTCTTAAACGGCATTGAAGAATGTTTTATAGTAGAAGATATGATTCATTTTAAATTTTGGAATGTAATATGTATCACTGTTGTATAATTTTTATGAATTTGCACCATGTAACAATCAGTAAGGAGTCTTGGGTGGGGGGAGGGAAATGTAACAGCCTTGGCCTTGTTTTGTTTCTGTGTTACTGTCACTGTTAGACCATCCATTTCACGAAAGTTTTTACTTCTTTTGTGTGCTTATATTGTCTTTAAATATTTTTTCTTCTTAATTGTTTTTGTGTGTGCTTGTTATTTAAATATCTCTTTAAATTTTCATGTACTTTGTCCAGTTTGTTTTAAGATAGATCTACATGTTTATTAGAAGATGTTTTTTCTCTTGTCTAGTCATCTACACTCTCCCTTTACTAGAGTTGTAGTGTGAAAATGTCAAATTTCCATCCACTGCTCACAAATGAATTTATTTACTTCATTGATGAATTCATTGCTTTGCTTTTTTTTTTCTTTCCACAGCCCCTGATCACAACCTGCCACTGTTCCATTGGATTTATTGACAGCTCACCAGAATAAATCCTGACTTTAATTAAAATCCAGAAATGCTTGCGGAGTTGGTCGAATTCACAGAAAAACTTGTTTGAACAAGTTGCAAAAAAATTGAGCACTTAAGAAAGCATTTGTTGCAGACAAGAAAAAAAAATTGACATTAATTTAACAATATCAAGTTGGCAGACTGGGTGAACTAAACAATTGCCAGAAATAAAGAAAGAATAAATAAGTATCGTGACACAATTGCGTGCTTCAAAAAACATGTCATATTTCACAACTAATTGTCTTTGAAGAAGTTGAACATTTAAATAAACACAATAAAAATATAATGAAAAACTTGTTGAACAAACTGAAGTAATAAAATTAGAAGAGACTATTGTTTAACTTACAGGGCAATCTCATGAGTTTAAGATGTAAAAGAGAAATCAAAGATAAAGACAGAGTAATTGATCATTTACATGACAAATTAAAACATGAAAGAAACATTCTAACAATAACATGCAAAATGAATTTAAAAAACAGTATTATCATGAATTAAGGTAGACTAAAAAACACTAGTTTGCAGCAGCTGTAGACACAAATGTTAACTTTAAAAACTTCTATGCTCATCTTATTTTAGGCGACCAGCTGTTTTGTTAAAATATATTATATTTTTTAATCAGTTTTTTGTTAATTCTACTGATATTTGATATGTAGATGTTCCAAAAGAAAGGCCTTAAAAAGACCTTCAAAATGATACCTCAATTATTGATGTAGCTTAATTTATAAGAAAGTTATGGCAAAATATATTGACCGCAGGACGATGCGGTCACGTTACACAACACAGTGTTACATAATATTACCCAATATTACCCACCACGACATATTTTAAAAATATCGTCTGACTGTTATTTTGTCCTCAATATCACAAGGTTTCAGAAAATGTTTGGTTTTAGCATGTACGCAGCAGCATATTGAAGCAGCTTACATTTCCCTTATTGTCCTTGCTGTTTCGATCACAAAAATTGCCTTTTTTTTCTATATAGATGTTATCCCCTCGAAAAGATCTCTTTAAAATGCAATATCTCAAAAACGGTTCAACATAGAGCAATAACTAAGGTAGCGTTGGAATCGTGTCACTGGGCTCTTTGCATTGGTATTGTTTTTAAAGCAATTTGAAAGCTTTGAAATTTTTATCCAAGTGCCTAGCGAGGGTATTTTTTGGGCCGCTCGGAATCAGAAGTGACTCTCTTCTAAGTATAATTACGGGAAAACTCCTGGACGAAAATAAATGAAACTCGGCAACCAACCAGAGGAAAGGTTAAACTAATGACATGCAAGCGTACAATCCCGAACGATTACTAGAACCGGAGATATTGCCGTGTTTGTGAGAATTTCCTCTGCGGTTCGAAAACTAAGCGGAGCTGCGGGTTGATCGCCGACCACACAAGCGCCCCACATGTCTTCTTTATTGCTGTAAAATTTCAGATCTCTGCGTGTAGTAGATTTTCCGTACCAACTTAAAATTACCACCCACCCATTGATAAAACACTAGATCTAGAAACTTAATCGCGCATTCCAAATGCGAGGTGCCGGCATGCAAGAGGCGCGTGATCGCTAGGCGACATGTGATTGGCTGCCTATAACCAAATGGGTCACCGATGACTACATCGCGGGTTTTCCCGATAGCGCTTTACTGAGTTTTAGAAGGGGTGATCGCGTCGCGGTAGAAACGATGTCACGCAATTCAACAAATTTCACGCAAATATCAGTCTTTAAGATCCAAAGTAATGAAGACAACGAAAAAGTGATAGCAGAACTAGATTCGGCACTAAAAATCACATGGAGATGCCAAGTTTCATTCATATGCTCCAATTCATTACTGACTTATGAACAGTTTTTCCTCAAAATACATATCAAAACATGTCCCACATTTTGGCGATTTTTTCCTATAGATATGAAGGTCCTCCAACATTTTGCAAACAAAAATCCCAACAACTTTTTTATTTATCAATGGATTTTTAAAATTTAAAAACCGTAGTTCTTAGAATTTACTCTAGTTTCATTTAAGCCCATTTTTAAGCAATTTGGATGAAAATTTAATTTTTCATTGTCATTGCTACCTTTCTCCTCCGATTTATATCCCCTGAGATCGCGTACATCTACGGAATCCTGGCCACTAGCCCTCGACGTAGATTCCCAGCAGCTCGCCTTGTGCACTTCTTGGGCGGCAACCGCCAAAGTTTCGATTGATTCTCCGCCAGTCGTCATTTCTAGTCCGACCGTCGCCCCTTGCTCATGCCCGACAGCTTCCTGCTGACCTTGAGAGGCCGCCGCAACCTCCCTCAGCTTCTGCTGCACCCCTCTCTCTATATCTCTTTCTCCAGATCGACTTCGTCCAACCACTGACTTTTTCTACCTTTTTCAACCTCTTCTCCACTGGTGTCATTCGAACCTTTCCTTCCTTTCTCGTCTCCTCTGTCGTCATCGGGCATCCCTCGAGACTTGGTCGTTTCTATTTTTAACTTTTTCGTATCATTTTCGCCATTCTTCTTCTTCTTCTCCTCACCATCGTCAACGTCACTGCTATCTCTCCTCCTCCTTTTCTTGTCTTTATCTCTGCTCTTCCTGCTCTTCTTTTTTCTGTCCGTTCTCTTTGTCTTCCAGTCTGACTCCTCCTCCCCGCCTCTCCCGTCCTTAGTAAATAAATGTCAACACTCTTTGTGACTTGACGAGGACTTTAATAATCAAGCACAATGAAGACATACACGTCAGACGATGCATGACTGGGACAGAAACGGAACAGAAATAAAGCAGATGAATATGATTGACAAATAAGGGAAATATTAATAATGGACACAAGGAACAGATACGAATGATGGCACATACATGTGGTCTTGTAGCTACTGAATGAAATTCCTCTACTTAGAGTAGAGGCCCTCTTGCTCTCTCCTCCCTTGGAGTTCTCAGAACTGTCTTGTGCTACGCCTGGCTTCGTCTCCACGTACTTCTGTCTCAGCCTCTCCTCCTCCCTCTTCTTCCTCCCAAGAACCGCCAACTCGTTCGAGGAAAGTATCGGTGGATTCAGTTTCGGGTCATCCATGACAGGCTTCCGGATAATCCGCCACCCCACTCCCCCCCGTTCCCGACTTGCCCCCTCCCCCCTCCTCATCCACTTCCTGTCGTCTCCTTGAGGGTTTGACAGCGTCCCCACCGGCAGCCGCCCCCCCACCAGACACACCGACTTCCCCCATCTGCTGCCTCAACTCACCAAACTTCTTGCTACCAGAAGACTCTCGCGACCTCTCTCTCATTTGTCTCGACTCAACAACAAACTTTGCATCGAAATCCTTATCATGATTGACAGTTCTACCCTTGAACATGTTTGTTCCCCTGCTGGCACCCCTAAAACCTAACACGCCATCCGTTTTCAAACTGGATCTTGTGTTGCCCCACCGTCACCCCTCCTAGCTGTCCAATTACATCCATGCCAATCAGCACATCTATGCCCCCGACTATGTGATCAACCACAGTTGCCCTCGTACTGACTTTTTGGCCATCTACCTCCATCTCAATCTGCACCCTCCCCTTGCATTCAACGGCTATTCCATCAAATGCTGATACCTGCACCGCATCTCAGGTCCATCTGTCAACCAACCCAGCCCTGATCATGGTGTTCGAACACCCCGTGTCTATCAATGCGTGTCGACTGTGACCTTGCACGGTGACTGTGATCATTGTGACCCCTCTTACTCCTGTAACGCACACTGCGTCACCCCCAGGACTCGAGCTTCCTCCCCCACGGCTACCTTTACCAGCATGCTCGCAGTACGCCGCAATATGCCCTTCCCCACCACACCTGTAGCACACAAGTGACTTTTTCTTGCTTAAATTCTCTGGGCACTCTCTAGCAAAATGACCCCCCTCACAAATGAAACACTTTACCTGACTGGTGTTGTACTGCGTCATCCCCCGCCCCCCAGATTTTTTGTATCCCCTTGCCTGATCTACCGCTGCGGCTGCAAGCCCCCCACCCACTACTGCCCCCTTGTTTGCTGCCAGGACCCTAGCTCTACCAATAATGTCTGCAACTCTCATCGACTCCACCCCTACCACTTGTTGCAGTTCCAAGGCTATGCTGTCTGGAAAGCCGGTTGACAAAAGCCAATTTCACCAGCTGCTCCAGCCCCTCTCCTGAGAACCAACAAGTCCTGCCTACCCTCCGCAATTCATTGGCGTATACGTCCACCGCTTCCCCGATCCACCTCGTCTCACGCAGTTTTGCGAAACCAGCAAATTGGTTGTCGCAAAACGCTTCCTTCAAGTTCTTCTTGATGAGCTTTACGCTCCCCTTCTCTTCTTCGCTCATCTCTAAATACACAGCTAGAGCTCCCCCCTCCAGGTACAATGGGATAAAACTGGCCACGTCTTCAATGTGAGTCAGTTTAGCCACCAATTCCGCCTTCTGCAACCAAGCCTCGACGTCCCCCTCCCCAGTAAACGGTTTAAGCACATCATACTTGATACTCGGGCCCATCGCCATTTTTGACCTGCTAGCCATCACTGCAAAACCCCTAGATCTGGACTATAACAACTAGATCTAAATCCAGGCCTAGATTCTAGGTCTAGTTTAGCCTAAGGTCTTAACGATCCCGATATCCCGCCTGGCCCCCACGCCACAGGTCAAATAAATGCCGAAATAGCTTGTAATGAGAGGATAACTGCTATCTAATCCTAGATTCTACTCGCTAGTCTATTTACGTTGGTTTCAATACTCACTGTTTCGAGCGGGGAACGATGAGTGTGGGTCGCACAGGTCCGGAGCTCCATCCACTGTGTCGACCCACCAGTAGCATCGATCCCTGCTCAGACTAGGTTTTAGTCGTGGCTCGGAAGGCCAGTTTAACCTTCGCCGTGTGTTTATATACCCCCCGTGCTCCCTTATTCTCCTACACTCACTAGGCTACACTGAGTTTGTTTACTTATTTCACTGTTCCATTACTACTGTTGTTAGCCTAAAAGCGTACAATTTTATCAGTGGGCAGTGGAGAGAGAGTAGGTCTAACGCAAGAACTTCCTGGCAAAACAAAATGGCGTCCCGCGTAGTTCGGCTCGATTCGAAAAGTTAAATAGCCGTAGCATCTTTGTAGACGACCAAATTAATTTACTTTTGTGTTTAAACATCATTTTTTAACTTTGTTTTGGTCAATTTGATCGTCCACACCGATAGACAGTATTAGTATTCAGAAAGAATCAGAGAGAGAGAAGAGGGGAGGAGCAGATCTTGCGAGAACTTCCGGGCAAAACATAATGGAGACCTGCGTAGTTCGGCTCGATTCGAAAGGCCACCTGTATTCTCACCCGGGGTGAGAATAGCGCAGGCGAGTCTTTTGGCTATTCTCACCCGGTGGACGTTCACCGTTATAGCCTAGGCCAACCAGTGAAGCATTCACCCTGAACCACAAAATTCTACACTGTGATAACAGAATTATAGAATTTTGTGCTGTGAACAAACGTTCTAGATCTAGATATCTAGATCTATTACTACTGTTTGTGTTAGCCTAAAAGCGTGCAATTTTGTCTGTGGGCAGTGGAAAGAGAGAGAGAAAGGAGTAGCGCGAGAACTTTCGGGCAAAACAAAATGGCGACTCGCATAGTTCGGCTCGATTCGGAAAGTTAAATAGCCGTAGGATCTTTGTAGACAACCAAATTAATTTAGTTTTGTTTTTTAACATCATTTTTTAACTTTGTTTTGGTCAATTTGATCGTCCACACCGATAGACGGTATTCAGAAAGAGACAGAGAGAGAGGCGGGTGTTGCTAGCCAGAAACCAGATTGAAGGCGCAAAGCAGCTATTGCGGCTCAAATTATCAATTGGAACGGGAAGGCAATTTCCAAAGAGCGCCGATCTAGACCTATGTTGGAAGTCTTGGCCACCTAATGAATGCGTAATCGTGGCCGCAGTTTTTGCATTTTTCAACAAAAAAAGCAGAAAAAAACACCGCCGGGGAAAAAACTTAAAAAGCCCGGGGAATAAACATGGAAAAAAGGGAACCAAACCTCTTTACTTGTAGAAAGAAAGTTTATTTTCACTTTCACTCCCGCTTCACTTCGTCTCTTTGTCATTTGTTGATACCTCGTTGATTTGTCATTTTCATGTGAAGAATATAAGTTGGTCTACATTACATACTATCGCTTCTTCTGTTTTATTTTTCCCTCGTTGTTGTGTTTTAATTTGTTGGTGTTTTAATTTTTTTGTTATTGTTCTAATGTGTGGGTTTTTTTAAAGTCATTTTCATATTAAAAATATAGCAAAATGTAATTTAATTTGATGTTGCTCCTACCTTTTAAAAAAATATAATGTTAGAGCGTGTCTCCACCAAAACCGAATACTGACACCGGCACGCCCCTTGAGTGTGATTCCATAATTTACATGTAATATTGTGTACTTTTTTCTTGAATTACACACGCTTAGGGTTAAAATGGCCAAACTTCAGATAGGTGGACACACGCCCTTATTTATTAATTTTTGTGGTTGTTTATGTTTATGTACTGCTATAATTTTTATTTCTTTCAGTTGTAAAACCTGTTTTTTTCACGTTTTTACACTCTGTGCGGCTACAAATGATATTCTCGATGCTTAAAACAGAGCACAAGTTATTATCTCGGCCGTTACTTCGAGTGAGAAGCTTTCTTCCTTATATTGTCTTTGTTGGAAGCTATCTCTATATCTTTTTTTCGGACTTGTTTCTTGTTCTGGTAGGCCTACAAACTGTAGAACTGGTGAAGTGGATGCATGCGTATTGAACATCAACAATCGCAATTCAATGAGTCAGGAATCAGACACTGCACGCTCTCCTCTTCTTTTACTTTTTGGCTTAGCCTAGGGCTAGGCCTATCTATGGCATGTACGTCACTTTTGTAGTGACTCACATAATGCGTCTCTCCGCACCATCTCTTTCTGCTGCCTGCCCCTCCTCACTCATCACTGGACTGGCCAGTCACAACGCCACACTGCTGCCTGCCCCTCCTCACTCATCACTGGACTGGCCAGTCACAACGCCACACTGCTGACTGCCTGTTTGGAGCCCGCCTACAGCCCTCCACCCCCAACCCCCTTCCGCCCCAGTTAGAGTTGGCTCGATCTCTCACGCTGTATCCAAGTTTGGGACTTTCCTTGCCCTGTTAAACCCAAGCATGGGCAATTGAGTTATTTACATAAAATAAAATAGATGATTCCGGTAAGGTCCCGCTGTATGGATGGTCCTGCTGCAGTGGGTGCCGTTATAGTATTGCTCTTCTGTACTATAACTATAACTATTCAATAAGTGTGTTGTTGTTGGAAGTTGGAATCTCATGAAATTAAAATCTTGAGTTTTTTGGGGTTTTTTCTTCTAATTTTAAGATTATTTTTATTTCACAGTACAGCAAGCCTTGCAAGAATGATGCAGTTATTGACCTGTACTCCTTTGAAGTGGTTGGAAACAAAGGTAAATGAGATGCTCACTCTTTAACTCTATTACTTAATAGTGTAATATTTTTTCCCCAGACGGAACAGTTGAAACCATTTCATTAAGACATACAGTCGGACACAAATAACTCACAATTGTCCTGGATTGACAAATATGTTAGACACGTCTGTAATTTAGGTTAACAAATAATAATGAAAAATTAAGGAGATTATAATATTATTATCACTCGGGGAACGACAAATTGTATCATGAACTATTCTTCATTTCAAGTTTTCCCTGTTCACGTTTATCTGTGCGCGACTGTAATTAACTTGTAACCCAGCAAAACAGTTTGATGAGTTTGAAGGTATTGAACTTAACATACTAAAATGAAGCATGGGGGCTCTCATGGCCTAGAGGTTAAGGTGTTGGCCTCTCATTCAAAGGTCCCGGGTTCGAATCCGGGTAGCGACCGAAACATTTTCTGCTCTAAATTTGTCTCCTTTCACCTCATTTCCTGCTCTCTAGCAATGTTCTGTCGTCTGCTTTCGTCTCCTCTTTCTGCCCCCTCCCCCTCACCTCCTTTGCCTCTTCCTCTGGGCTCCTGATTCTTTCTGCAGCCTTTCTACTGCTACTCCTTCGCTTCTTCTTACTTCTGTCTTTCAGCCACACCCCTGATCTTCTGGTAGGAAAGATCTACACCTCGCCTTCTCGGACAAGGGCGAAAAATCTCGGAGGGCCCGTGTGCAAGCTGCGCTCGTTAAAGATCCCTTGGTGATCTAAAATCGATAAGAGTAGGCTTCGGCCGCCACCCGGGCAAAATTCAAAATTTCCTACCAACTGAAAATATTAGGTGTGTCCCGCGCGCTCATATGACCTTATGCAGTTGCTAGCGCCGTAAAACACTTTACAAAAACAAAAACAAAATAAAAATGAAGCAAAATGGTCCTCAAACTGGAGGATTTTGTTGTAGAAAGCTTTCTAGTCACATTTAAGGTCAGTGTAATTCACTTATTTAATTACAAGAGCAATAGAATGGAAATACCAGAACCAACGTCCCTGTTCAAATTGATGTATGTCAACTGGTATACCCAGGATACTCTTTGGAGGGAGAAATTTACTGAAAGTTTTGTGGTGAAGTAATAACTTTGATAAATTTAGTGTAATTATACTGATAAATTATAATGTTCTAATTATTATCCTTTTGAATTTCAGCGGCACTGCATAACATCAAAGGCTGCCATCTATTTGGAGCCTCCAAGCTGAAGAGCACACGCAGAAAAGGTTTGTTAAGAAGTGATGCAACAAGCAGTTGAGAATTGAGTGACAGTACTTTATAAACAGTGCAAAGTGCAAACACTTCTTCTTTTTTTTTTTTTTTTTTTTTTTTGTGGGTTTTTTTTTTTTTTGTTGCATGTCCCTTTTTCAGGTACCATATATAATAACGATTCTTTTTGGTATTAGACAATTATTGACTAGGAGAATGAAAGTAAATACAATGATATTTCAACACAAAGAGGATACAAAAAGAGATATTAATGGTTAGATCTATTTTTTAGGATTTAGTTGGGGTTTTTTAAAACTTCTGTCTTCCATTCTAGCTTCCCCAGGACTAATCTGCCCCCACCCTACACCCTCCTTGTATAGACAGGCCTGATTTTTAAGCTATTTATGTGCCTCTGACCATATCAATTAATGAAGGTGCAAGCCAAAAAACCCCTCAAAAACATTAGTCCTCTTCTTTTTGGTGACCTTTTAATTTTAGTGTAGGTGCACAAATTGTTTGCTGTGAGCAAACCAGTCTTTACATGTCAAGTTACACATTTTTCTTATTTCTCTTTTTCAGATGAAATTCTTCAAAGCATGGTATGTCTTTTGTAATTTGCTTTTATATGGTATGTCTTTTGTAAAAAAAAATTTTTTTTTGGGTGGGGGGTAATTTGCTTTTATATAAGATCTAGATCTAAGGTAAACTGGGATAGATGGCTGTAGGATCTTTTCTTGGATTTCTGAAAAAAAAACTTGTTCCGGATTGTCGTTGGTTTTTTATTTTTTTGAACCAGGTAAAGAAAGTACTTATCGTGTAGCCGTAAGGCATTTCACTATCGCACGTAGGAGACCAAAGTTCAATTTCCGAGGGCGGAGAAAATTTATATTTCGGATTTTACCTTGGGACAATTTTTGACCTATTTCATTGGCTCAAAATCGAAGATGTATATCACTTAATTTTGACAAAGATTTGTGGCTTTGTTTATGATTGAGCACTTAATCGGCTGCTTGAGTTGTCCGTTTCCTTGCATGCCCACAATTTTTCTGAGTGTTCCAGGGGTATATCGATTGTAGAGCACATAAAGCTTGCTGTTGAGTGGTGATAAGGGCTGTATAAATGCAATGTATTGTCTATTATTTCTCTGTTTCTGAAATGATCAACCTCTTCCATATGGAAAATACAAAAAGTGCTGTTGCCTTTTTCCATGTTATTGTTACTGGCTAGTTTACTTCATAAATTGTGATTGTTTTTCTGAGAGAAATTTGTTCATGATTCTTTGTTCTGTCCTTGAACAGACAGCTGCTCCACGATCTTGCACCATCGACCCAAACGTCTCCATGGCCATTGCTCGTAAGTAGATCTACCTGTTTAGCCCCCCAATAAATGTTGCACATCATGTGATTCTTGCTAGGCTGCAGAAATCAGTACTCTGCCATAAGCTGACAAAACGCCTTTTTTTTTTTCTTTTTTTTTTTCATTTTGGCTCCCAAAATTTTTATTTGCTCAATCAAAAGCCTTATCACAGTACGATTTTACGTATTTTAGTACGATTTTTGGCCGAAAATACGCGAATACGACTTTTCATGAAAAAATACGCATCCTGGAATGCGAAAACTACGAGATTCAGCTTGGGCGAGTAAACTTAATTAACTCAGGTCCCATCTTTTGTCAAAATAGTATCAGTGTCGCAGAACTGGAATATTTGTAAATCAAGTCCGATGTGGTCAGTATTGCCGGTCGCGATCGTGATAGTATATTCGTTCATCTTTTCCCCGTCTGGAGAGTACGTTTCACTTTCACTCGAAAAGGCAGCTATGGCGGCAGGCGGAAGCGTATGTGACACCGAGGCTCGATCGGGAAAATCAAGATCTACTTTCGCTTTT